GGGCCTCTTCCTCCTGGCCTGGGCCCTTTGTGCTTCACGCTGCTCCCCTCACCTTGTTCCAGGCGCAGAGTGAAGTATGATCCAGCCGTCGCAGCAGCCAATGAGTGGGAAGCGGGTTATCCCTGCCTCCTCATTGCACAGAACTGCTGCCGACCATAGAACTGCCTGTGTTCTATCGAAAGCTCCAACTCCCTGGGTATGAGAAGCCTCCTGTGAACATGAAGGGGGAGATATAGGGAGCTGGGAATATGAAGGGGACATGGGAGAGGAGAGTGTGGGGTCAGGGAGCGGAAAGCTGGGGACGTGAAGTAGGAGATGAGGAGAAGCTGGGGACATGGAAGAGGAGAGTGTGTGGTCAGGGAGAGGAGAGCTGGGGTTATGAAGGAGGAGGTAATGGGGACATGAATGGGGAGCTGGAGGCATGGAAGAGAAAAGTGTTTGTTTGTTTTTTGTCTAAAATGTATTTTTATTTTATTTTTTTAAATAAATGTATTCAATTGTTTTCTTCTGGGGGGGGCTTCATGGATTCTTGCACCGGGGCCCTGAGGTCACTAGTTACGCCTCTGACAAGGTATGATCAGTTACTGAAGTGCTGCTGCAGATCTTTTTGTTATTCCCAATGAGATGAGCCAGGGAGAAGAAAAGATAGAGACAGCAGCATGGAGGGAGGTGAGAAAGGAGGCGGGGATGGAGCTGCGGGGACCGGCGGGAGTTGCTGCGCCTGCGCCACTATTCATGAACATGCAGCGGCTCCTACAAGGCACTGTCACGCAATGGGAGAAGAGAAGAGTGGGCAGGATCCCAACAATATCAGCACGGAGCCACAGTATATTGAATTGTAAGCTTCTGGTGCCTTTTTGATTACAAGAGTACATTGCAAAATATACTCCTGTGTCATTAGTAAACATAATGCCCAGAAAGGTGTGCCCCATAGTTCTCGTTTAAAATTAAAGGTAATTGACCGTATCCCCAAGGCCCCGTTCACATTGAGCGATTTATCGCGCGGTAATTCCCGCGATATCGTGGCAATTTACCGCGCGATATCGCTCTCCAATGCTTCTCAATGGGGCAAAGGGTCCCGCTGTCGCGGGTCGTGTGTCGCTACAGCAAGACCCTTTTTGGAGCGGATTTAGCCGTGATTCAAGCTTGCTCAATGCAAGCATTTGCAGGATATCGTGCGACAAATCGCGCGATATCGCGCAAAATGCAAATCGTGCAACAAACGCGCGATTTGCGAACCGCTAAATGTGAACGGGGCCTAAGAGTAGGAGACGGGTAACAGAGAAATGGCTTTGAAACAGATAAATGGTACAGTGGATCCATTGTTTGATGGGGACTTCATTCAGATTTCAGTTTAGATGTGTTTTTGTTAGATATTCCGAGTTTTTGTGATTTCTTTGTTTATAGAAGAGAATGGAAGAAAAGTAAAAAAAAGGAAAAGGGATATATCTTCTTTGAAGGATCGTTATTTCCTGCATGGCGGATTCCTTATATATTAACTGTTGAAGAAATTGATCACAATTTGTCACCAATTATGTTTGATTTCTGGTTCCTGATTACGTGGGTGGATATATATTCCGTTACAATTAAGTCTGTGTTTTTCCAGCCTGAGGAAGGGCTTGTTGCTCGAAACTGTCGCATTTTATGGAAACACTGCTTCTATTTTTGAATAAATATACTTTGAAGTGCTGCTTTGGACTTTTTATTATGTGTGTATATACTGTATATATTTTTTTTTATTTTATATATTTATTCATACTGTTTCTATGAAGATAGACAGATGAATAGCTGGGTAAACACAATTAGGCCAAGCTGAACATGAGGCGTATAAGCATACAGGTAACCTTGCAATAGGATAGAGTCCAGATTAGTCTGGAAAGAATTGGAGTCCACATTTCTAATGATGGATGGCTCAGGATTGTTTTTTTTATTATCTTTAATTATTCATATGTAAACATTACACCCCCCTGACCCATGCACTCTGTGTGTTATGAACGTCTGACCTCTGCTCTCCATGCATCACACATTCCTGGTCCTTGCCTTCCATGTGTTGCACATTCCTGTCCCCTGCACTCGATGCATTATGCACTCCTTAGTCATGCACTCCATGTGTTAGGTACCCTGCATTCTATGCATTATGCACACTTGACCCCCACAATCTGTGTGTTAAGTACTTCTGACTCCTACCCTCCATGCATCACACACTCCTGACCTCTACCTTCCCTGTGTTACACACTACTGACCCCTGCACTCTATGCATCACACACTCCTGACCCTTGCCTTGCATGTGTTACACACTCCTGACCCCTGCATTTCTTATAGTACACATGGATGATTCCTGCAGTCCATGTTTTATTAACTCCTGACCTCTGCACTCCATGCGTTACCCCCTCCTGACCCCTACACTCTATAAGTCATGCATTCCTGACCCATGCGCTCTGTGCGTTAGGCACTCTTGACCCATAGCAGAGTAGGCCTAGGGTTTATTTAACTATACTCTCTCAGTCACTTCCACTGTTACTGCAATTTGTCCGGACCCACAATTTTCCACATTCCGACGTTTTTGCAACACGTGCCACATTACACCGATCAACCATAACGTTATGATCATCTGCATAATATTGAGTAGGTCCCCCTCTTCTTGGCCCGCTGAGCCATGGACTCCACTAGACCTCTGAATGTATGCTGTGATACCTGACACCAAGACGTCAGCAGCAGATCCTTTAAGACCTGTAAATTGTAAGGTGCGGTCTCCATGGATCGGACTTGTTTTTCTAGCACATCCCACAGATGATCGATTGGATTGAGATCTGGAGAATTTGGGGGGCCAAGTGAACACCTCATAAATGTTGCTATGTTCCTCAAACCATTCTTCAACCACTTTTGCAGTGTGACAGGGCGCATTATCCTGATGAAAGAGGCCACTGCCATCGGGTAATACCATTTGCAAGAAGGGGTTTCCCAGCAGAACATTGCCCAAAGCATCACACTTCCTCCGCCAGCTCACCCTCTTACCATAGTGCATCCTGATGCCATCTCTTTCCCAGCTAAGCAACACAAACAGACCCGGCCATCCACATGATGTACAAGAAAACTTGATTCATCAGACCAGGCCACCTTCCTTCATTGCTCCAAGGTCCAGTTCCGATGCTCATCTGTCGGCTCTTTTGGCAGTGGACAGTGTTCAGACCTTTATATCTGAACCAGCGTGAACTTTTTCATCAATTTGATCTCATTAGCTCTTCTATTGAATTGGAATACATGAGCCATCCTTCTTTCCCCACATGCATCATTGAGGCTTGGCCACCCATGACCCTGTCGCCAGTTCACCAGTTTTCCTTTTTCTTCCATGGACCACTTTTGGTCGGTCTTGACCACTGCAGACCGGGAACATCTCACAAACGCTGCAGTTTTGGAGTTGCCCTGACAGTCATCTAGCCAAATCCCTACACTTACCCATTTTTTCTGCTAACAACACATCAACTTCAGGGACAAAATGTTCACTTGCTGCCTAATATATCCCCCAATTCCAGGTGCCATTGTCATATATCCCCCCCACTTCAAGGTGCCATTGTCATGTATCCCCCCCACTTCCCGGTGCCATTGTTATATACCCCCCCACTTCCAAGTGCCCTTGTAATATATCCCGCCCACTTCCAGGTGTCATTGTAATATACCCCCCCACTTCCAGGTGCCATTGTAATATATCCCCCCCACTTCCAGGGGCCATTGTTATATATCCTGCCCACTTCCAGGTGCCATTGTAACCAGATCAAATCAATGGTAATCACTTCACCTGTCAGTGGTCATAATGTTATATCTGATCTGTGTGTTTCTTTGCCCAGACATTTTGTTTTTATATCTTAAATATCTGCCTCTTGTTCTCTTGGCCAGTTGTTTCAGAATGTGCTAAATACGGGGACACTTTATGGTGTTTTTGACACAAATACAAGAATAAAAGACATCTTACTGGTCTTTGCCTGCTCCATACAAAAATTCCACCAATACCGTGTGATACAAAACATTCCAGTGCTTTATTTGTACAACATTACATGAACATCACATGAACATTGAGGGCTAGTTTACACCAGCCACAGTGCGTTTTGGCCCGATTGGGGCCGGAACGCACTGGATCCCATTGCGGCCGGCTCGCTTTGTGTTGGGGCAGGAGGGGTGTAGGTGCTTTGAACTCAAAAGGCACTGCAGCCACGCCATCCGGCCGCAGTGCGATCGGCCACACGGGAACGCGTAGCACATCAATGCCTGCGTTCCGGTCCGGTGAGAAAAAAATTGCAGCATTTTTTCTGACCTGACCAGAACACAGGCATTGTGCCACGCGTACCCGTGCAGCCGAACGCACTGATGCCGGAGGGCGTGGCTGTGATGCCCCAACACTAGCCCTTAATCAACTTATTTTAAGTATGACTAGAATGGTGTGTAGAATTTAACATAGAGTATATGTGAAGCACTTCAAAAAATATCTAAAAAATGTTCTTTCCTGTGTGAATCTTCTGGTGTCTAGTAAAATGTAGCTTTGGAAAGACATTCTTGTCACATTCCAAACATCTAGAAATTGGTTTGTCTCATGTGTGGACTGTTTAGTGTTCAGAAGCTTTGAAACATTTTTACGGGACTTGTTACATTTAGTATGAATAGAGTCTTTCTCCTGCATGACTCTGACTGCGTTTTCCTAGATGATCTTTGTGTATAACGCTTTGATTGTGTTTCCATCAGGAACCTCTCCAAACATCTAAATGTCTTCTCTCCTGTGTGAATCTCCTCGTGTCCATTTAACACTCTCCAAACATCTAAATGTCTTCTCTCCTGGGTTGATCTTCTGGTGTCTGTTTAAGGCTCTCCAAACATCTCATTGGCTTCAATCTTGTGTGAATCCTCTGGTGTTGGGTCAGAGCTTCCTTGGTTTTAAAACATTTACCACATTCCAAGCACTGATATGGCATCTCGTCCGTGTGAATCCTCTGGTGTAGAATCAGATGTGCCTTCCTTCTAAAACATTTACCACATTCCAAGCACTGATATGGCATCTCGTCCGTGTGAATCCTCTGGTGTAGAATCAGATGTGCCTTCCTTCTAAAACATTTACCACATTCAGAACAAGGATATGGCTTCTCTCCTGTGTGAATCATTTGGTGTTCGATCATCTTTGAATGTCTCGAAAAACATTTACCGCATTCAGAACACGGGTATGGTTTCTCCCCCGTGTGAATCTTCTGGTGTTTCGTCAGGTTTCCCCTTTCTGCGAAGCACATATCGCATTCAGAACATCTGTACGGCTTCTCTCCGGTGTGAATCCTCATGTGTTGGATTAGATTTTTCTTTTCTGGGAATTCTTTATCACATTCTGAACATCTAAATGGCTTCTCTCCTGTGTGAGACCTCTTGTGGACTTCGAGGTGTGACTTGTATACAAAGCATTTATCACATTCAGAGCACGGCCATATGTTCTTTCCCGTGTGAATCTTCTGGTGTTGAGTCAGATGTATCTTCCTTCTAAAACATTTCTCACATTCAGAACAAGGATATTGCTTCTCTTCAGTGTGAATTTTCTGGTGAGTGGTAAGTTTTGACTTCAAAATGAAACTTTTACCGCATTCAGAGCAGTCATATGTCTTCTTAGTTTGACTCATTTTGGGGTTTGATAAGAAGCGTGCCTAGAGGAAATCCCGTAAGGTACACCACCTGTTATAAAAATAATAAATATGCATATAGTAAGCATAAGTCACATAGAGTTAAAAAAAAAGCAGCAGGAATAAATCTTCTGGAACAGTCAGTAAGGATGGAGGACTTATTTTCTGTGCTGTGTTACATCCTGTGGTGTGCTTTATAAAACATATCTCATCTAAAGAGGATTAAATCAAGGATAAGGCAACTACCACATATATATATTTAATAAAGGTTATGTTTACATGGGTATCAATGTGACAGATGCCTTATACATATAATTATCCCTTCTTAACCCACATATAACTCCTCCACTTAAACTACAGTCTCCCCCGTATGTAGTTACCAAGACCAACCTCTCCCAACAAAACATGAAAGTTCTCCCTGGCTCTATATTCCATCCAACCCGACCAAACTCTAGAATGTTCCTCTAGTCCATCAGTATCTTCCACCACCAACTTCTCCATTTTCATCATGTCATCCTGTTAGAATTTTAGACACTTATATTTTACAAGTGTCTTGAGGTGATTGTATAAGAAACTTGCTGAAACGGCCAGTTAGTCCAAAAATAAGTGTGACTTTATTTAGTTCTATAAAGTCATCAAACAACACTGAAATGTTATAAAGCATACAAAAATAGGTATATAGATAATAGTCCAATATCAAATGAATAAAGGAAAAGTATTTGTAAAATGTAGCAAAGTATGTAAAATAGTGATGTTCGTCTTCGTGTGATGAGATTGTATCTGTATATGTGTATCTCTTGTAGTTTCTTTGTAAGAGCGCGTGTGTGTGTGAGTCTGAGTGTGCGTTCGACCCCGTTCACATGTAGCGACATACCTTTGCAGCGGCCGGGATAGCGCGACTTTCGGGGCGACGTTCCAGCGATGATCCAGCGACAGTAGCGCGACCTTCTCCGTCGGGCTCCATAGAAAAAAAGCAAAATCCGCGGGAAAAAAGGGCCCGGTAGAAGCGACTTGCGACCGCGACGAGCGACGCGTGACATGGAGTTAAGACAGCTCCATTGAATAGCATTGGCCGTCGACTTCTCGCGATATCGCACGGCAAAAATGTGCGATATCGCGGCGGGAATCGCGCGATAAGTCGCTACATGTGAACGGGGCCTCGATATGTGTCGATATGTGTGAGTGACCCTTAAGGAAGGCCCTGCCCCCTCGTGTATCCCGAACTCAATGGATATAGCACAGCCATTGTATTCACTTACAAACATCTGTTACCAATCTCTGCATGTCATTTAACTGAAACATTCCGTACCTGTCCATCATTGAATATAAACATATATAGATTGACAGTTAAGATCCCAAGAAATATTACAATAAACAGAATATGGCTTACATAGAAGTATCAATTACATATGCAGCCTAATTATCCATCCTCTGGACCTAGGACCTTTCTTGACCTTTTCCATGACCTTTCTAAACTTCTCAGGCTCAAGAGGAGTAGACACATCTGGAAGTAATCAATAACAAAAGCTCTCTGTCACACATTTAACTTGGAATATTTAGGGCCTATTTGAATAAATGAAATATATAACTATTTATCATATTGTACATGATAAATATGATATTAAAGATTTAACACATCCATAACACTTAGCCAATTTTCTAATGTAGGGGCCACTGTTGATTTCCACTTGCGAGATATACACACTCTGGCTGCTGATAGACAAAACGGAAGGGCATCTTTTTTACATTTCCTAATAGATCCTGGCAGAAGTGATAGGAGAGCGACATATAAGACAGGATCTACTGAGGTGGATTGGATAGAGCTATATATCCTAAACACATTTGTCCAAAAGGGACGTATTCGGTCATAGCTCCACCATGTGTGTGAATACACTATGGGGTCTATTCACGAAGCTGCCGTGGGCAGCCGAGTGAATGACCGATCTAATTGCCTAAAGTATTGGGACGCTTTTCTTTACACGCACATGAACTTTAATAACATCCCAGTCTTAGTCCGTAGGGTTCAATTGCGAGTTGGCACACCCTTTGCAGTTATAACAGTTTCAACTCTTCTGGGAAGGCTGTCCAGGTGTTCTATGGGGTTGAGGTCAGGACTCTGTGCAGGCCAGTCAAGTCCCTCCACCCCAAACTCCCTCATCCATGTCTTTATGGACCTTGCTTTGTGCACTGGTGCGCAGTCATGTTGGAACAGGAAGGGGCCATCCCCAAACTGTTCCCACAAAGTTGGGAGCATGAAATTGTCCAAAATGTCTTGGTGTGCTGATGCCTTAAGAGTTCCCTTCACTGGAACTAAGGGGCCAAGCCCAACCCCTGAAAAACAACCCCACATCATCATAATCCCCCTCCACCAAACTTTACACTTGGCACAATGCAGTCAGACAAGTACCGTTCTCATGGCAACCACCAAACCCAGACACGTCCATCGGATTGCCAGACAGAGAAGCGTGATTGGTCACTCCAGAGAACACGTCTCCACTTCTCTAGAGTCCAGTGGTGCCGCGCTTTACACCGCGGCATCCCACGCTTTGCATTGCACTTGGTGATGTAAGGATTGGATGCAGCTGCTCGGCCATGGAAACCCATTCCATGAAGCTCTCTACGCACTGTTGTTGTGCCAATCTGAAGGCCACACGAAGTTTGGAGGTCTGTAACTATTGACTCTGCAGACAGTTGGTGACTTCTGCGCACTGTGCGCCTTTTACATACAAGTGAGTGGGCGGCTGCAGAGTTTAGCAGTATGCTGCTAAAAAAAAGTGTGTGTGTGTCCCTCCCTCTGCTGCCCCGGTTACCTCCACCATCAGCTTCTATGGGTTCAATAGGTGACATTAGAGGTCTAATAGACCTCACCTTTGGGCAAGACCTATTTGAAGGGCCCAATCATACCACTGCAGTGCATAGTTTACATGGTAGTTTACATGGTAGCTTACGACTAATGCATGCTACTGTGAAATGCACCAACTGTGCGTTGCAGTGAGTCAGGTTCGTTGTGTTGTTATTCATTTGTATGACACCCCAATGCACCTCCCGGCTGCAATGTGCTCCACCATACAGCAACACGCGGTTCCACAATGTATGCACTAGTTTTTTTCACCGCACCATAATATACGATATTGCATATACCGCGCACTGCAATGCGTTTCACCCCACTGCAGCTGGGAGGTGTGTTGGAGTGCCATTCAAATGAATGGCAACACAACACACCTACTGCATGGTAACACACCATAGCTGCGTTTTGCAGCAGCGACCGTTAATTGCACGCTACAAGCACTTAGGCTTTACAATTTTGGAATATTAAATATTCAATATTGAAA